AAGGTACGTATGGTGTTTCCCCACATGAAGGGGAATTCTGTCTTTGTCCTCTGTGAAAAGGACAAAGCTGTCTGGCTCCTCTGATGCCCTACACGGACCATGTCTGTACGTTGAGATGGAAAGCACCTGAGTTCTGCTGCTGTCACTTCCAACCTCCAAGTGTTACAGACTCAGTCTGACTGCATCTTGCACTATCATTATACTACCATAGATCTGTGGGGGTTTTGTGTTTACCTCCTGCCTTTTTATACATTGACTGTCGAGGCATAATTGCTCCAATTATTGAATTATTTAACTGTGATTATACAGTTTTTGTTTACTTTAAGGCTCCCTGTAATCATCTATGCTGATATGTTTCAAGACTGTCTGCAGCATTGATGTGTTTTCCATCTTGTCTCTCGTTACCATAAAAATATGCTGCTCCTGCAGTCGGTTTATTAACCACATGGTGCAATCAAGATGATTAATACAGTTTAAAGGACATTTTGAAGATGAGATGGATTTTCAAAAGAATGAAAAGTGAGGCTGTGTCCAAATCTCTTTAGACATCTTTGAAAGTCCTCTGCCTAACATCACAAGCAGACTCTGCTATAATTTGCTACTCTGTGCACCTGAAAAAAAAGAATTATAATAAAGTTGTTTTTGTAGAGCCTAAATAAAATAATATCTTTGCTCTCCCTTCCTGAGCAGATTAGAAAACTGGTTATATATTCAGGTGTAATCTGACATGATTAATAAGACTACCTTACAGGTTTAGATGTAATTACAAGGCTGCAATAGTTCCTAGTAGCACTACAAAGTGCAAGACAGTATGCATTTCCCAAAAATTGTTGGTGCAATGGGACAGTAGTCATCACCTTTTATCCATTATCCACAGGGCTGAGGAGTCTTCATAAGGTTGAAGTCCAAAACTCAGATTCAGACTGTCCATCCCTGAGACTGTGCTTCATGTGGGTGAGGGCACAGTGTACCTCTCCAGCTGGCTTTGGGCTGCTGTGTAAAAAGGAACCTAAACCTCAGGGACCAGAAGGAAAGGAAGAAAGAGCAAGCTTGATTCTGTGGCCTGTTGGGCAAACTGCTTTCTTTCTATTATGTTCCTGCTGTTGTGGGTTTTTTTAATCCCCGACTGCTTACTGCAAAATGAATAAACAGTCTGGGGAGCAGGATCCTGAAGCAGGAATTCTCCTGCTTACCTAAGCATCTTACCTATGGTCCTCAGAGCCAGGCGTGCTCTTGTGTATTCCCAACATGATCCTGTGGATCCACATTCCTTTCTATACAGAGTTCAAGATCTTGCCTGAAGTTACTTGAACAATCGATGAAAAGTCAGAGTTCATTTAAAGCAATTCGTGCACAAGCAGGGGAGCTAATGAAGCCTTTCTGGGAAATTGTATGTGTTCCTCTGTTCTCTCACATCGGTAGCCCCCATCCTTATCTGAAATCTCAGGTTCTGAACCTGTGTGACCTGCCCAGCTAATGATTTTCATAAAATGCTAATTTTTAATAAAACTTGCAGAAATTTGGTATCCCTAGGACCCTTGACGTCTGTGACATTGGATTGAAACCGCCCATTAAGTTCAACTGGGAGTGTGGAAGGGAGCTGAGAAGCAGATGAGCAGAGAGGAGGGACACGGTCACAGAACCCTGTTTCTCTAAGGAATTGCACACAAATACTTGCTTAGTTTTGCATTAAAAGTAGCAGATTTTTTCTTTTCCTTCCATTTGAGGTGCTGGCTAATAGCAGAATTGGTGCTTTCAAGGCCAAGTGCTCACGATGTACTGTAAAATTTGCTGTGTTAGTTTCTGCATTTGAGAAAATGTATTTCTCTTTCTGAATTGCTAATGAGAAGCACGCAGTAACCTGGGAAAGTGGGATCTGTTAAAGTAGCATAATGACAGAAGCTCAGAACTAACTCCACCAATTTTTTTATCATTTGCTTTAATGCTAATATGTCATAACAGCAAAGAAGGTGTGTAACTTCCTTGTTAGCGACTTCCAGTCAATGAAAGCAAAGTGTCCCGCAGGTATGTTTGTTTTATAAATTATGCCACAACCATGTTTTAGTAAATATTCAAAGATAACTTTTGCAAGGCAAAATAGCTAGTTCTCCAATGCTCCAGCAGAATTTGCTAGCATCAAGCAATGCTATAGTGGTAGTTGCACAGCAACAAACAGTTATGACCTTTGAAGAGTAGCAAGAAAGGGTAATGTTATAAAGCCCAGGGCGGAGGGGAACTGTATAATCTAACTATGATATATGCTTATTCAGTGCTGTGCATATGGAGGAGGCAGGAATCCTACGTGGAGGACCAGGAGGGCCTGATCAGCAGTGGCCAACAGTCTCCAGTGCTACTCCAGGTAAGGGTGTGAAAATCCAGAATATATGTGAGGAACTAATGTTAACTTAGTAGACGTCCTCATGCTTCCATCTTAGTTTTTGTTCTGTTTTCTGTCTCTGAGTGAAGTTCTTGTAAATTAATCTGTGGAATCTAAATAGAGCAGAATAATAAAGCATAAAATACATCTTTTTCTTTACTCAGTCTCAGATGAGCACTGGAGATAAGAGTTCTTGATCCCAGCTTTCACCCTGCCTTTGGAGGTTATTGGTCTGTGTAATGGAATAATGGAAGGACTTCAGTTCTGATGTGTGTATTCAGATTCAAAATCCTTGAGTCTAGAGCTGATTTGCCCTCTGTTTCAAAAGAACAGTAAAACTGGGGTAGGAGCTTATCAGTTCTCCCTTTGTTATTTTTACAAACCCAGTAAGTCTCTTTGAATGCCTCTTCTCATTTTCTGTGGTGAAATCAGACCTTTTTTTTTTTGCTAGCTATTTTCATTCACTAGTACACGATGATGGAAACTAAACTATTATTTGCTTATCAACATAAATGACCAAAAATACATTTTAGAATGTAGCTTCATTTACTCAGTCACTGACTGATGACTTCACAGCAGTCAATAAGAATTGGCAAAAGGTCCTAACTGAGTTAAGAAAAGAAAATCACCTCTGTCTTTTGTAGTGCAGGCAATAAAATATTCTCACTTTTTATGTTGAGGCAGGAATAATACAGAGAGGTAGTGGAGCAGCCAGTCACTGGTGTGATCAGAGGTTTCAGTCACGTCCAAACTAAGCTGTCAACTTAGTGGATGCCCTGTGTAGGGTTGTGAGCCCTGTATGACAGCTCTGCGAGCATTATGAGTCCTCCAGAAATTCAAGTGAGGAGAGATGTTCATATCACAGAGACAGGTCAAAGGCCAAGAAGTGGCATCTCTATCAGAGAAGACGTGAGAGCTGCTTTATTTAATACCTTTTGGTGCAAAACTTTCCCTTGACTTAAATGGAACTTTTACCTGGATAAAGGGCTGAGGAGCAACTTCAGGATTTGCAGTCACAGTTACGACATATCCATGAATTAATGGTGCCCAGCAAAACCTGCACTGGTGTTGCAGAAGAGTTGTCTGCAGAAACAGGTTTGGAAATTAATATAATATACAATGGGCCTCTAGGCTATAATTACCTGGTTTTTGTGTGCTCTTCCTTCTGTTCCAGGCTTTGCAGGAAGACACAGCTCGTGCATGTTATGAAGGGCACGTAACTGTTGAGCTTGCATTTGAAAATGTCACCACAAGTCACTCACCACAAGTCACTCTAACCTTTACAAGGGGTTCCCTCAGGCTTTTCAGCTGCACTAATCACCCTTGACTGAGCACTTAGTGTATTACCTTATACCAAGTTCAGTATGGATGCAAATACTCACCCAGATGTTTGCTTGCGGGTAATGCAGATTTCTAAGTACCTGAATGTAAATGCAAAGGTAGGATGGTCCTGTCTTCTGAGGAGGTCCGTTGGCATTTGGGTCCCAGAACCCTGTTCCACTATCTGGACTTCTCCCTGCTATTCTTTTTGGGTCTTATCATTTTAGACTCACTTTGGGAACCTGAACATCTCTCTGTTTGAGGAGCAGCAGTAGCCCTTGGCTCTTATTGCTCCATGACCATGCAATGAGGCACTTGTGCAATGAATGCATCCCTGTCACACACACTGCTCTGTATGTTGGTGGCTATGTAGGGTGGAGAAAACTGTAAGGCATAGTGAGAGGAGAAGCTGGCAGGAGGCCCTGTAGAGCTGGGAAGCTGGAGAGGTGACAGTCCAAGTGCCAGGGCTGTTTGTTCTGGTCCTTGGACCGAGCATTGTAGATCATTGTTTCTCTGTGGTTTTTATTTCTAGGTAATGTATTCAAACAGGTTTCAAGAAATATCTTCAGCCACAGGAAATTTTTCTGCCATACAGGAAAATGTGACTAATTAAAATTGCATTACAGAATACCCACACTAGTTACAGCTGCCTTTAAATCCAATTTTTGTGACTCAGGTTCCTCGTAAATGAATATTTTTTCTTGCACAATGAAGACTCATTTGTTTAGTCTTTGTCTACTCCCAAGGGATTAGTGACCCTGACATAACATTAATTAGTCCTTTTTTTATTGGATTTGAGGTAATAGTCTTCTCTTGTAAGCAAAAGCTACAGATATGCCTGGTCCTTAATAGCAAATGATAATAGGTGATTCATAGGGAAATCTCAGTTAGGATTAATGATTGTGTTAATTTTCATAACTTAAGTACATCATCACGCATCACATTTTCAGCAATTTACTACCACTGTTTTAGACTCCTATCTGCAGTTTCCCACAAATATCTCTTTCAATGCTTCTTTCTTTCTCTGGTTTAGTTTCAAGACCTGTAATATTTTTCATCAGGTTAACATACACAACTGATGCTTTTCAGAAGAGATTGAACTCATTAGAGTCAATTGCAGTCGATTGAGACAACAAATGCATTTGCTCCTGACATAGTATTTGCATGTGAATGGAGTGCACCTGTGTCCAGATAAACTCCTAGATAAGCTATTTATTTTCTCTGTTATCGTCAGCATACTGTGGCAGCTGCAGGTCTCGACTTCTGATTACTAGAAACCACTTCCAAGTCTGTTCTCTCCACACATTCTCCATGCAGTTGTTTTAGTCAATTGATTAATCCCAATCAGTTTGTCACTAAACCATTCATTTAATTTAACAATCCACAAAAGCTACGGATAAGATGCCTCACAGAGACAGATTCAGAGAGTTAATCAATGAGAGCATTCAAAGATGATGTCATAGGAACACTTTAAGAAGGATGAACAAGTCAAGTGTTAAATCAGTAACTCCTTAATTCCTAACGCATAGCTGTACTCAAACACCACACAATGTTCAGCAAATACGTGTTGCCCAAGCAAAACCTGGTCCTCATTTGACTGACAACACTCCTATTGACGTTATTCCATATTTCACCCATGCAGGGGAAATCTCGATCTGGAATTTTTAATTTGTCTTTGCATTTTCTTATGCACCGGTCCAATAGTCTGTAGGTTTGTAGTCAGGATACTTCCAAGTGAAGTGGGACAAGAAGGCTCAAACTCCCTCTGGGTAGAGGACAGCATGGGGTTTAGCTCTCTGGGGCATCTCATTTGTCCCTCACATGCTATATAGTGAGTCCAGGAAATGCAGACGGATTTCTGGTTTCTGCTCTATGTCCTTCAACAGATTTGGCAATTATATTAGACTTTCTATAGGTGACCACTAGTCTGAGTGAACTTTATTTTCTGGATGCCTAACTCGGAATAACTGGGGCTTGATTTGCAGAAGTGGTGGGAGGTTGTAATAGAAACTAAGATGAACAGAAACTTTGCTCTAAATATACAGCACTGAAGATTTCTGAATAAATCAGACTTATGCATAATTCAGAGCTTAGAACTAGTGGGCATTAGACAAATCTGTGTGTACTTCTGTGCTCCAGGTTCCAATCTATGAAACAGAACTGGTAATGTAAGTGCTTCACAAAACAGTCTAAAGACACATTCATAGCACATATAAGACTCAGGAGAACGATAAGGTTTTGTGATGAAAAACAGCCATGAGGAATTTTAAATCCTCTATTCAATGTAGGCTTAATATGTGTGCAGTAAATAAGGCAGTGGGCCACACACCGCATATACAGAGGGAAAAAAAATACTTCCATTCAGACAACTCTGTAAACAAAAGAGGAAAGGACCTCATGAAAAAAGTCTGCATTTGAAATTTGGAACCATGTAGGTGAAGACTATGGGTCAAATACTGGCATCGCTGAAGTCCATGGCAAATAGCCACTGACTTCAAGGGAGCTAGGATTTCAGTGGTCTAGCCTGAAATATGCTAGAGGGGAATATGCACAAGGGACTGAATTAAGGTTGCATAGACAAATGCAATCCTAAAATATGCTAGTTTTATGCTTCTGATTTTGCAGTGATAACGTTCTTCTAAGTATGTCCGTCATTTTTGTTTCCTTTTCCCAGGTAATTAGAGAGGTGGTAGCCTTGTTTTTTAAAGCACTCTTATGAAAAAAGCAATTATATTTTGTGAGAATCTACTGACCTCAACATGGGCAGTCCTCCATGCTTGATATTCATGGTGCATATGTTTATCCCTTGAACTGGCCAAGTAAACAGCAGTAGTAATATTGGCTGCTATTCCTTAAGAGAAATAAGCAGGAGAGACAGGTTAGCTATGGGTTTCATAGCTACTTGAAAAGGCAGGGGAATATTATAACCAAGAAACCCAGAGATCAACTCTAGGTCTGAAGAGGACTGTATGTGCTATATATGTATGTGTATACATTTTTTTTATATATATATATGTTTGTATATATATAAAATCTTTATACAAAACTGTATATAGCTCCTTGTTTCCTATCACCCCAAGCCTCACTCTTTCAACGTTTGTCCTCTGAAGTTTGTTTCTACCACAGCTTTCCTCTCTTATTCAGTTTTTCCTGCTGTTCCTTACCCCCTGCCTAACTGTGACCTTTTTACACATGCCATGCTAGCTAGGGATATTCCATGCCCATATACTCTCAGACTGTCCCGAAAGACTGTAGAGACTCTTAGGTTTTATGCTGGGAACTACAGTTGCTCTGGAATAGATTTATGTTGCTCTTGGAGGATGGTTCCTGCTCCAATCAGCTGGAATGTAGAAGAGGTCCATTGATAGGGCATGGGCTGTAGAGTAAGTGATGAACACTGAAAATTAAATGAGAAGCAACTATACATATGGCAAATAAGCAAAATGATCTGAAAGGTAAAGTCAGTCTTCCTAGTAAGTTTTATACTGCTGGTTTGGGGTAGAGTGTTGGGAATGGAATGACTGTGGGAAAGCTGTGAAGAAAGGGAAAGGGGATGCTTGTGTGGATTTTAATAAAAATGCCCAAGAACGCATTGATAGGAGAAGAAATTATTATGATTATCTAGTGTAAGCTGTGGTATACACAGTTCCGTGTTTCACAGA